GATCATTTTGCAATATATACAAATATAAAAATCACTATGTTGAACACCTGAAACTAATATAATGTTATCCGTTAATTATACCTCAATAAAAAAGTACACGTTTTTATGGTTGCTTATGCAGAGCAGCACAATCAAGAAACTGGTCAAGAAAGCAGACAGCAAAGCTCAGCCATCAGTTAGGGATTGGTAGAAGTTTTTGACATTAGGAAGGGTATCGCAAACATCAATAAATATCTATTGAGGAAATATTGTGTGCCAGGCACTAATCTAGATGCTGGGGATAAAGTAGGGAACAACAGAGACAAAAATTCCTGTCCTCATCGGTATTACATTCTAGCAGAGGGAGACAGACAAGAAACAACATAAATCAATAAAAATATATAGTAATTAGATACTAATGGTTGGGGAGAAGGGTTGTAATTTAAAGCAATAAGTCGTGGAAGACTTCACTGAGAGATAGGTGAAGGGGAAAGTCATGAGTGTATCTTTTGAAGAGTATTCCAGGAAGAGGAAACTGCAAAGGAAATCCTCTAAGACTGACTGACTAGTATGTTTGGGGAATATTAAGGCGCCCGGCGTGGCTGGAACTGAAGAAGCAACGGCAAGAAGAATAAGAGAAGAGGTCAGAGAAGTAATGAGGGCCAGATGGCAGTGGGCCTTTCAGGCCATCTGATGGACTCTGGATTTTACTTTGACGGACGGGCAAAAAAACATTGACATCAGTCAGAAGACAGGATCTGACTTATGTCATTCTGGCTGCTGTTTTGAGAAGGGCCTCTAGAGGGCGAAAGAGCAGAAGCAGGTGAAGTCTCTAATTAGGTTGCTAAGCTAACAAACCAGAGATGCATCTGCAAAAAGAAAGGGCTATAAGGACTGGACATAACACTGACTCACTTATCTAAACCATTTCCAGAATGCACCTTGTGAGTAAAACTTTGGAAAACTTTCTGAAAGTATTTTTAAGGTGGTTTATCCCATAAAATGTACTAAACCTTAAGTGTTGAAGTTTGACAATTATTCAATTACTGATGTTTTTTCATATTCACCCTTAGATAGCAATGATTTACATAAAAAGAACTTTTTGATTTTAATACTTTTTCCAGGATAGTTTTGCATCATTTTTATGTGATTTCCTTGATAAACCCACTAAAACTATTTTTCATCCATAGTTTTGCATTATCTGCATAATAAGGAAATACTGAGGAAGAACTAGAAACTGGACGATTCAGCAAGATCACAGAAACCATGTGTTGGGAGCTGCCTGTCAGCAAATGCTGCTAGAGATTCTGTAAATATCAGGACAAATCTTGCAGATAAGGGCAAAATAAATGGCTTTGGCAAGATTCTGTATAGGCTGCATATTTCTTTGTGGGGTCATTGCTACTTCTAAAGAATCCAACTAGAATTATTATTTGGGAACACAACTTTGTGTGCCTGCAACCTTCTTGTCTCCTGGCCCAGATTCACCCAAAATATGCCTCTCTCCAACTGCTTGTTGCCCTGTTGAGTGGGCACTATTGATTATAGGGGACTTCTAAGGCACTGGATAATGGGAAGCTAGCAGGATAGTCCAGTTACCATTGCTGCATAACAAATTACCCTAAAACTTAGTGGCCTAATACAACTATTTTATTTTGCTCATATTATTTTGCTCAGTTGATGCTGTCAGCTGGGCTGTCGAACCAAGCACAAGTGGCCTCTTCTTGTTGTCTGTACTTCCTCACAATATGGCAGCCTCAGGGCAGTCAGATTTTTACCAGGTGGCTCAAGGCTCCAAACATGAGTGTTCCGGCCTTCAACAAAGCTGCATCATTTTTTATGACCTAGCTTTGGATGTCATGCAGTGTCATTTCCATCACATTCTATTTGTTACAAGTGAGTTAAAAGCCCACTCAGAATCAAGAAGAGGGGACGCATACCTTAACTCCTGATGAGAGAATGTCAAGGTCACATTGTAAAGGAGCATGTGGCATAGGAGATATTGTTGGGGCCATATTTGGAAAATATAATCTGCTACACAGGGTTAGTTATTAAATAGAGAATGTGTGAAGTCACTGAATTCAAGGTAAATTATAGAAGTCACCAGACTTTGTGGAGAAACAGACGAAGTAAGGAGGCAGAATGTTTACATTCTTGCATTCGCCCGAACAAAAGAATCCAAGAAAACAGTGGGAGTTGAAAATAAAGTCAGGTTCAAGTTTCAATAAAGGCTTCACTCTGCATTCTACACTCCAGGTTACCTTGCTAATGGTGCTCTTATGGCAATTCATTCATCAGTTCACAAACTTTTAGTGAGTGCCTACTACATGTGCCAGGGACTGTTCTAGGCTTTTGGTGCATATCAGTAAATAAATGTAACAAAAAGCCCTACTCTCATGGAGAGTGGATTCTAGTGGAGTCATGATATTAAAATAAATAACACCACTTGTGAATTAAGTAAATGACAATTAGAGGCGACGCTTCATGTGATCTAAATAGCTAGCTCCACCCTGAAGGATGTTCTGGGCTGAAGTTTTGCCAGGTGACTGCACAATAGACAAAGTGGTGAGGTGTTTGGGAAAGAATTTTATAGGTAAAAGGGTTAATCTGTCCTGTGAGTTTAAGAGGGCTTCTGGATACCGCTAACCTCTTGCTTCTCCCAAATCATTTTGCTTCATATCCATCTCGTGACCTTTGCTCTACTTGTTGGCATCACGGTCCAAAAGAAACCCCTAGGAACCCCAATACTTCACCCCATCCTGTACATACACCGTTTGCCATGTAACTTTGGCATTCCATAAAGACACCCTATATTTCCTCCTGTGATTTGCCAATAGAATAGGGCAGACAAGAGCGTGTTAGTTCTGAGACTCGATCTAAAGAAGTCTTGCATGTTTCCACTTGTGCTCTTGCCCCTCTGCCATTCCCATGCAAGCATGCTGGAGTTGGCCTACTGGAGGATGAGAGACATGTGGACCAGATCCCAGTCACTTCAGTCCCCCGAAGCAACAGCCAGCCCACATGAATGAGCCTAACCAAGATCCCAGATGCACGAACAATAAACTTATTGTTATATGCTACAAGATTTTGTGGTTGCTTGTTATGCAGCATTTTGGGGCAACAGAGGGATGACACAACTGGGTAAAGTCAGAGCTCCTTCTCTTGGAGACCTGCTTATAATTTCATTTTAAAGCCAGTCAGCCCAGGTCCCTGTCATTGCTGCTGGTGCTACCTTGGTTCTGGGCTGTGTGGAAGGATAATCCGAGTCAGAATCAACAGAGTTGCCTCTCTAATCATGACAAGGGGGAGGTGTGGAAGAATGAAGTGAAATAAGGCTTCATTTCTGCCTGTGAAGGTTTGCATTTCATGTCTCCTGTCTGAAGGGACAAAAATGACTCCTAATGCCCACTATGATTGAGGGAAGATGAAGAAGCTGCAAGGAGAAACTGAACATTCCAGTTGCTCTTTTGATGCCCTTAACCCATCAAGCTCCCTGCCCCAAAGTGGACTTAGCCTTTTTATTATAATTAAAAATAAACCTGTTTTGGCAGCATTATAGGAGGATAGAGGCCATACCAACCACTATGTGGATGTGTCAGTCCTGGCAGTAATCTTGGCAAATTGAGCTCCTTTTCCAGAATACATCAAGCAAGGATGGAGGGGCAGGCTATTTAATCTCTGCTTCCAAATAATTGTGACAATTAACACTTTTGAGGAAATAATTGCCTCCAAACAACACTGGCCTTTCAAGTAAGTGGAGCAGTTGCTCTCCCCACAAAGTGTCAGAAACTTTTCCATGAGCTTATTCTTTTGCATCTTGCACAGTCTCTATCACAATGCATATACCCCTGGGAGAGGTAACCTCTTTGATCTTCCATGGTCAAGTTTGGGAAAGGAAGAACGATTTTAAAACAGCTAAGCAAAAGAAAGGCAATTCATTTGTGTAATTGTTCATTTTCTTTTTCCCACTGGACTGTAAGCTCCAAGAGGTCTAGGACCATGTCTATTTTGTTTGTCCATCTATTTCCAGGGTCCAGGACACATAGGAGACCCTGAATAACACTTGTGGAAGGAAAGCAGAGGGGAAGAAACATAGGAAAGAAGAAAAGGAGGGAAGGGGGTAACTAAAAACACCCAGAAAAGGGTAAAAAAGCCTAATTAAAATCTCGCTGCGTTTACCCTTATATTAACTAGTTAATGACCTCAAGATATTTATTGGGCTCTTACTATACATGCACGGGGTGGGGGAAGGTTCTCTAGAGTAGAAGAACCCCCACTCTCTTACCTTAACCTGGCGTGGTTCTTTGAATTTTAATCCTGTATACTCCAAGAAAAACAACACAACCAATGCCAAGAAAGTTTCCCAGTGGGGCATTTCACCATCTTAATGCATGAAATGTGATGCACTCAAACCCCTCAGCCTTTGGGATTGAAACATTCAGAACGAGAACTCCAAAGAGACCAAGATGAAAAACAAGTTTCAGGAGGGCGCTCAGTTTTTTCCTAGTACTCTAGACTAGTTCAGTGGCTCCTCAACCTTTAATATGCATGCGAATCACCTGGGGATCTTGCTAAATATGCCGATTTTGATTCAGTAGGTCTGGGGCGAAGACTGAGCTGCTGCATTTTTAACAGGCTCCCAGGTGATGCTGATCTGCTGACTCGAGGACCACACTTTGAGTATACAAGAGACTCACCGTCTTCACCTCCATCGCCAGGTGTATGTATGCCCAGCCTCAGCATTCCGGATCCGTGTCCCGCGCGTCCCTGGCCTTCCGCCGGGAGGGGAGGAGCCGGGGGCGGAGCAGGAGGAGTGGCGCGGGCCCGCGTGGGTCCTGCCGGAGATTACCTCGGCCCCTTGGAGAGGCGGCCGAGCTGCGGCGGCGTAGGAGGGGGCGGGTTCGGCGAGGGCGCGGCCTCTGGAAGGGGGGCGTACGACGCGCATCCACCGCGCTCGCCAGGGCCACTCGGGAGCCTCGAGGCAGCCTGGCGCCCCACTTGGCAATCCGCTCTGTGCTTCTTCCCCGCGCCCGCCTCCTCTTGTCACCTCCCGTCTCAGCATCCTTGCTCCATCCCCGCCGCATCCAGCGCCATCCCAGTGCCTCAGACAGCGAGAGGCGGTGCGTGGGGCTGCAGGGCGCGCCCTCAAGCGGACCCGGGTTCGGCATTGAGGGGCACGGGCAGCAGTATGGACACCAAGCGCTGCTTCGCCAACCGCTTCGATGACTACCAGGGCAGCCTGCTGGCGGGCCAGTGTGAGGAGGCGGTGGCGCCTTTGGTCACCGCCACCATCGAGCGCATCCTCCAGGAGCTGCCCCCGCTCGGGGGCGGCGCTGAGGCACGGGGTGCGGCGGCCGCGACCAGCAGCTGCCAGGGTGGGCTGTACGGCGGCGTGGCCGGGGTGGCCTACATGCTCTATCACGTCTCGCAGAGCCCGCTCTTTGCCGGGGCCCGGGAGCGCTACCTGCGCTCGGCCAAGCGCCTCATAGACGCGTGCGCCCGCGCCGAGGAGTGGGGCGAGCCGGACGCCGATACCCGCGCTGCCTTCCTGCTCGGGGGCGCGGGCGTGTACGCCGTGGCCACGCTCGTGTACCACGCCCTGGGCCGGTCCGACTACGTGCAGCCGCTGGGCAAGTTCCGGGCTCTGTGCGCCGTCTGCGCGCCAGTCTCTTTCTTGGAGTGCGGCTCCGACGAGCTGTTCGTGGGCCGCGCGGGCTACCTTTGCGCCGCGCTGGTGCTCAAGCAGAAACTCGCCCAGGAGGTAAGAGGCAGCCCCGGCCGCGGGGGGGCGCTCGCTGCCTGCCCGGCCCTGCCCCGCCGCCCTTCCCGGGACTCCCAGCTCCGGGAGCAGCGCCCCTGGCTATTCTCCATCTCTCTTGGTTACTCTTTGTCTGGCGCTGTCATTTATTCAGTCTCTTAAAGTTTATCTTCTGCTTTTGTCCGTCTTCCCTCCTCTCTCTCTCAGTTTCTCATTTGTTGGGATTCCGCGTCTTTGCGCTTTGTTGGTGTTTTACATTAAACGTGGCATCTCCCCAGATGCCTTTGTGCCCAGTAGCATTCTGGAGGCCCTTACAAGTGAGATAAAAAAACAACTAACAAAACAAACCAAAACCTCAAAAATGAAAGGGATTTCCCTTCCTTTGACCCTTCTGTCAAAAGCTGAAGCACCCTCGAATGTTCGAGTACTAGAAAAGTAATGGAAGTTTTGGGGGCTGATTATGCTATCATTGTCTCCCTCACTAATGTGGAGGTAAGTTGCTTCTGTGACCCGCCGGGTCTGTAACCCAAAATAACTGCCCAGCTGTAGGCCTGATGTGCTTACTGTGTTGCTTACTATCCAGTTCATCTCATGGCTCTTATAAAATGCATATCTGATGGAGGTGTCCTCTTTTAAATACATAAATGTAGACGGAATTTTACCACATTGTAATTGAATGTGCATTTTTCTTTTTAAAATGCGTAGTTAGGATTGTCAAGAGGACAGCATACTTGACAGGGCAGGTTTTCTTAATGAATAGCTTTTCAGTGGCTCCTTGAAGTGAATTAGGTTTCACAACTATATATGAGTTTTTTTTTCCGGATTCACTTCGAATACAGTGTGTGGATAATAGAAGAGAATGTGCCAGTTCTGTGGAGTAAGAAAAAAATAATCCTCCAAGGGATCATAGTCACTAGAACTGAAAGAGAGTCACTTTCATTCATAACCCACTGGAGCCAAATATTGTTCTAGGGAGGAAGTGACACATTTAACTTGGTTTTATTTGGGTGAGAGGCATTTGGAAAAAAAAAAAAAGGTACACCGTGTTTTAAAAGTGTAATTAATTTAGATAACCTCTACAGAGGCAGACTTGATTTTTTTTTTCATTTATAGTAGGTGAGGTTGATTCAAGTGAGAAAAAAGATTACTAAAGGCTGTGGCACTCTGCTAGCAGGGCAGCAAAGGTCTGTGTGACAAAGTAGTCTTGAAATAGTTCACTCTCCCTCTGAGTCACTTATCTGCTAGCAGTTTCCCAAGGGCCCTTCCAGTTGTATAAAACCTTTTAGAAGGCCACAGGGCTATTTACATATTATTTGCATTACATTTGCATCTGCTCCTCAGACCTTGCAGTCTGGCACTACGCAATTTTCAAATTCGTTTTTTCCCCCCAGTTGTTTTCCTTAAACTTGCTTTTTTCCCTTTCCATGCCTTGGGGCCTTTTCTCCAGAATAGAATGGCGAAGAGTGGGAAACCCGTCAGGTCATACAGGTGGAAACAGACCAGAAGGACTCCTTTCCCCAAAACTAGTGGCCCAGGGCCAGTCTGCAATGCTGATCCACAAAAACATTTAGTAAGATCTCTCCGTCTGTCCTCCTGCCAAACCAAATCTGTCTTTTTATACTAATCAAGTTGAGGCGCTTTGTCCCCTGCTCCCTGGAGATAGATCAAGCTCTGAGGGTAAAAAAACAGCTCTTAACCTGAGCAAATTAGCTTGTCTCAGGAGCAGCCTCAGCTGCGGCAATCTATGAAGTTCGGGCTTGAAAGGTGCAGGGCAGGGACTAAGCATGCCAGGCTGGAAGCCCTTGGAGGGGAAAACAAGTCTTATGCACCATCTCCACCCCCCTGTCCTAGCCAGCATATGGCTTTGCCCTCAGTAGATGATCCATAAACCTTGATTAAACTGAATTGCGAACTTCCGTTATTTCTCTATAAATAATCTGTCATTATATTCTGGGTTTCTTTCCCTCCAACGTCATTTGTATTCACTTTCCTCTGGCAATTCCCTCAGTTCTCACCCTAGGCTGGATCCTCCCCACACTACTTGGCACATCTTGGGCACCTAATAGTTGAATGAATGAATCACCATTTACTGGGATTAGTGCAGTATCCTCTGAGCTAGATTCTCTCACTCAAGCCATTCCACATACCTCTGAGAAACCAGTCTTCTTAAAAACACTTCATTATGTCATTTCCCTGCCCAGCATCCTGCAATGGCTCCCTATTACCTTTTCTCCAGTGGCTCGTCATCTCGCAGTTAGAGCTCAGATACTTAAAATGGCTGACAAGGTCTCACATGATCTGGCCCCCTGCGTTTCTACTCCACTTCTTGCTCTCCTTCAACTACACTGGCCGCCTTGCTGTTTCAGGTATTCTTCTGTCTAAGGGCATTTGTACCCGCTGTTCCCTCTGCTTGGAATACTGTTCCCCTAGCTATTTTAATAGCCAGCTCCCTGACCTTGTACAGGTCGTTGCCTCCTCAGTGAGGCCTTCCCTGTGCATCCTATTTAAAATTGCAACCCAGTCCCCTGACTTATGCCCCTTTCTTGCTTTATTTTACTTACTTTGTTTATGTCTTCACCAATTAGAATGTAAACTTGGTAAGAGTAGAGAGTTTTTGTTTCATTGCTGTATTCCCAACATTAAGACGGGGCATGATAGATATTTAGGTATTCAACTTTCCTTTTTTTTGGTGGTGTTGCAAATATTGTCCACCTTGCTTTATCACTCGGTTTTAATGGTGTCCTGTTTATCAATATTTTCCTTTATGGTGGTGCTTTTGGTGTCACGTTTGAAAAATCCTTTCCTACCGCCAAAGTCTCAGTAAATACTTGTTGAATGAATGAATAAATACTAGTTTCTTACAAATTTTGTCTCAGATCAAGCTTAACCATTAGACTGGTGCTTGTTAAACTTTAATGTTCATAGGAATCAGCTGCAGATCTTGTTAATAAAATACAGATTCAGATTCCGCAGGCCTGAGATTAGGCCTGAGATTCTGCATTTCTAACGAGGTCCCAGGTGATGCTGATGCTGCTGGTCCAGGGACCAGACTTTGAGTAGCAAGGCAATACAATGCTGCATAGGTTTTGGCATTATAGTAGCCATGTCTATTAAGGTATGTTATAAGACACCATTCTATGAAGCTTGATATATTTATAAGGTTGTAGTTTAGAGTACTGATTACTGTATCCTACCATGTTTTCATTATAAGGACCCACAAGAGGAATTTCTCTCAGGACTTAGGAACAGTTGTGTTCATCCTGGAAATTGAGTTTTTTAAATCTTCAGAATGTATCATGTAGCTGGTGGTGTTTCTCACTTTATGTTGGCCTCTAGGAAGCGTATGGCCAGAATTGTGGTCCACATAACTTGTGTACAGTGCCTTATCACATGTATTTTTGTTTCTTTAGCATTTACCCCGGGTTTATCTAATTTTTTTTCTTCCTTAGTTTACCCTTTTCTGAATTTTCTTCCTTCCATTTGATTTTATTGTTTCTATTTGTGTTTATGAGATGAAGAAAAATGTGTGTGCATGTAGAGAGAAACAAACATACAGAGACAGAAAGAACCACTCTATCCAGGTAATATATTTTTGTTTAATTTGGCCCTCTGGAAATACTCAAGGGAAGTAGCTTTGAGGGTTTGTTAGGCAGATGTCCTTGAGCAATGGGGCACTGAAGTCCCAAGAAATCACACCATAAAAACTTGTATTGGGTCTGTTCTGCTTTCCAGATTTGTGGAAATGTAGCAGGGAAAAGGAAGTTAGAAAAAATGGAAGGATAAAGGGGAGGCCTAGGGACCATAGTTAAAATAATAACTTTGCCATTAGGTGACCTTGGACAAATAATTTAACATCTTTGAGCCTCAATTTCCTCACTTGTAAAATGGATTAATAATAGCTTCCTCATTCACTTATTCTCTCATTTATTCACTCATTCACTGAATTTCAGGTTTTTACGTGTGCCAGGCATCCTTGCTTGATGCCAGGATTTAGTAGTGAACAAAAATCAATAGAATTATGTTGTTATAAGTGCTCTGAAGGAAGTAAACAGGAAATAACTGGGGGCGGGGCCGGAGAGGGGAAGGTTGCTGCTTGGCATACGTTAGTGAGGAAGGCTTCTCTGTGGAAGTGATGTCCTGGCTCATCACTGAAGCGTGAGAATGAAGTGGCTGCTTTAAGAGCAGGCATTCCAAGCACAGGGGACAGCAAGGACAAAGCCCACAAGGTGGGAAACTGCTTGGAGATTTCAGAGAAATGGAAGGTGGCCAGCATGGCTGGAGCCAAGTGAGCGAAGGCTGGTGGGGCAGAGGAGTTGGAGACCAGGTGAGCGCTGTGAGTAGGGTAAAATAGATCCTGCGGGGCCAGGTCGGTCAAAGTTAGGAGTTTGCATTTGTTTCAGGTTTAAACAGGAGAATGTCTTCGTCTTATTTACCTTTTGAAAAGATGACCCTCGTTTTCTGTATGCAGAGTGGATTGAACAGCATTAAGAATGGGTTGCAAGAGGGGCTGGTTACAGGAGATCTAAACCCCTTTTGTGCCAAGAACTCCTTTGTAAATCTGGTAAAACCTGCAGTACTTGTTCTTAGAATAACATTTTTAGATGCATAAAATGAAACACATAGGATTACAAAGGAAGCCAATTATATTGACATTCAGTTATGAAAACATTTAAAAAATGTGTAATGCAGTAGCACAGGCTTCTTTATTAACATATTAAATAACAAGATTTTGCAGCAGGCCTAAGGATTATGGTACTTTTGAAACGTGATGAGGGTCAGTGATATTTTGAGATATCTTCAACAACTGCAGTGTGATATGAATATATTTGTGATTTCTATAGGTGGCAAAGTCACAAGTACTACTGGTGGCTTGTGGTCTGCATTTGTAATGAAAGGAAATGTTAAATTGTTTAAATAAGATTTGAGTAAATATAGATAGGGTTTTATTTTCCCAGCCAAAAGGACTGGTCTGGAAGTTGCTGTGCTGACTCACCCTAGATCAA